TCGCTGTGGAGTGGGCCTGAGAACAGCAGCGGTGAGCACGGTCCTGTGTTTAAAGGCCACAGGGCCGCAAGGGTTCGGATTCACATCTTGGGTTCACCTTCCGCTCAGGCACTGACTGAGCTGCTTCCCCAGTGCAATGGAGAGCAGGTCCCTCCACCTGATATTTGGCTTCCATTTACTAAAAAGGACTGATTGATGATTTTGACAGAAGACTCCTTTTCTATAGCAAGTGTTCATAAGAATGTTTTATGAAAAATTCACATTAAAAAACTCTCACACGTAGCCTCCCACAGAGTAAATGTTGCATAGATTTTAAAAACAGTTTAAGTTCTGCCCTGGGTGGTGTGGCTCAGTGGGTTGAGCATCATCTCACAAACGGAAGGGTCGCCAGTTTGATTCCCAGTCAGGGCACATGCCCGGGTTGCAGGCCAGGTCCCCTGGTTGCAATGTGTGAGAGGCAAATGGTGGACGTTTTTCTCCTTCTCTTCCTCCCTTCCCCTCTCTAGAAATAAATAAATATTTAAGAAACAGTTTAAGTTGTTCCTCACGTGACTTTTCATATTCTCCTAGCGTCCAAAGCTCTTTCTTTTGAGACATTTCCCATTTACACTGCCCAGCTCCACACAGTACCATTTATGTAGCAGGCTACTCAAATCTCCACAGTCCCGTGTTTGTTAACCCCTCATTTGCTGTTTTAAGTTTTTCCTTTCATGCCTAATACTTTCCTGGCCTCCGGTTCTGATCAATAATTTAACAAGCAGCACAGTATAGTGAGGAGCTATGTGGCAGGTGTTTGCTGGTGGCCTGCCCAGTATCCACCAACCCTTCCTCCTGTCTAGATTACTCTATTTTCCATAAGGAACTTTAAAGTTTCTTGACATTCGGCTAGGTTTTTTCATAGAATGGACCCTCTACTCCACAGGTGGATAATTAGCATATTCTTTCCTCCTGGTCTCAGTGATTTCTTAAGCAATGGGCATCTAACCCAACGAAGCTAATTTGATGGAAGAAGTTACTTGTTAGGGCTCCTCCCACTTCTGTATGGGCTACTAGAAATGATTCAGTCTTTCCTGCCGCATGTGAAAAAGGCGCGAGGCAGTGAGCAAAATCGCAAATCTCTGTCCTCGGAGCGTACATTCTAGGAGGAAGGAGCAGGCAGTAAAAAGATACATTAAGACCGTGTTCAGAACCAAGGAGAAAAATTAAAAGATAAAGGAAAGGGATTTGAGAGGTGATGGCAGGCAAGTTCTGCTTAGAACTTTGTAGTCCGTTACGAAGCCTTTAGCTTTTACTCTGGATGAGACGAGGAACCAGTGGGGGTTTCAAGCAGCGTGACATGGTTGACTTCAACTATAATAGGACACTCTGGCTGCTGGGTTGACAGGCACAAAGGGTGGAAGCAGGGAGACTATTTATGACAAGTATGAGGCTTTAGGATATTAAAACATTGGCTCTAATTTGTCACTCTTAATAGAATTAAATCTAGAGAGAGGGACACATATCTTGAAAGACATCATGGGTACAGCTTTTGGCACATGGAGCTGACTGGAGTCAAACGCAGGGAAAACCCACAAGCTTTTAAAAAGTCTATGGGCGAAAGCATTACTAACAATGAAAAGAGACTGAAGGTGTGCAAGATGTAAAGAGAACTTTGGGCTCTCAATTTCCTATGGGCAGGAATTGGGGTGAGAAACTCATTTATCCACCAAGAAGGGCATATTAGCCCTTTCCAAATGACTAGGGAAGATGAAGGAAAAGATAATTTTCTAGACTGTAGAACCAAGAACTATGGAGAGTAGACTGGAGAGTTATTCATAGGGAGGAGAACCAATGCTGATCGTGGAACATCATCTCCCCTCCCCACGTAGAAAAACTTGACAATCTTTGCTCAGTGGGGTTTAATGATGGTATGATCCAGTAACTGGTATTTGCTTCTATTATTCATTCCCCTTTTTAAATGAAAGAGTTGTTGTTTTGGTTGCATTGTCCCTGTCCATCATTTGTTGTGTGTTGGGTGTATGAGAAAATGCTTGCTCTTCCAATTTGTAGGTCTGTATATCAAGAACAGCCACACCTGGACCTAAGGTAGATCCACAGTTTCAAGCATTTGATGGACCTTTTAGGGGGTCTGGGGATAGGAATGAACATATTTCGCCTGTGAAAAGGATGTGAATGATTATAACCAGGAGAGCAGACTGTGGTCAGCTGAATTATTGGTGCTTCACAAATTTCCACCACCCTGTAAAAGCATCGTGCGTACATGAGGTTTTTGCTGTGATCGCATAGTAAGCAGTGTATTTCCTTACCTCTTGACTTCAGGCTTGGTCAGATGGCTTCTTTTGGTGAATAAGATGTTGCTGGAAGTGTTATGAGCAAAAGCTTGAAATATTCTTTCATCATGGCCTTCCCTGCTTGTGTTCCTGTGGCCACCATGAGAAGAGCAGCACTTTCAGCACTGGCTCTGAGTAGGATGCATGCATGAGAGGCGCCACAATTCACCCTTGGGCTCACGGCCGGAAGCAGACCTTCCCCAGCTGACCCACAAACCCTCAGCTTAGAGCAGACCTGAGCCCGAAGCGTGGAGTCTAGCCTAACTCCAGGTAAAGTGCTTCTGATCCACAGACTCATGAGAAAAAGAAATCAGACTTTGGGATGGCAATGGCTGACTGACCGCTGTAGAGGTGACTGCAATAATTCACGAGAGGCAATGGGAACTAGGACCAGGGTAGTAAAAATAGAAGTGGTCAGATTCTGTTAATAGAGCACACAGGCTTTGCTGATAAATTGTAAATGAGGTGTGAGAGAAAGAGAGGACTTGAGGATGAGTTCTACGTTTTTGGCTTGAGCAAACAGAATAGAACAGTCGTTTTCTGAGATAGGAAAGTGAGGGAATTTAAGATTTGAGGGGTAATATCAGGAGCTGTTATCTGAAGCAGTAATGTGTTATTGGACTTGTTAACTTTGAGTTGCCTACGGACATCCAAGCAGTCAGGTTAAGTAGGCAGATGAACACACAAGTCTGGCGCTGGAGTGGAGAATGGCCCACTGTGACAAGGACATATCTTGGGGTAATCGGCGTGTAGATGGCTTTTAAAGCCATGAGATTGGATGAGATCAACAAGTTAAGTTTGATTGCTTGAAAAGGAGTCTAAGGACTGGAACTGGGGTCACTTTAGCATTTAGTGGTTGGGGACTTGAACAGTTACCAGCAAAGATTGAGAAGGAGCAGCCAGAGAGAGAAGATGAAAAGCGGTGAGTGCTAATAGTCATATTCCTGTGTTGTTATAATACCACATTCATTCCTCCCTACCTTCTCCTCTTCCTTTTCCTCCTTCACCAAAAACTTCATTACTGCCACTAGGTCATTAGATGTGTGTGTGCACACATGTGTACTGGAAAGCAGTGTTAATCACTTTACATGTATAACAGAATTATTGTAAAAGTTAACTGGTTCCTTCCTCTCTCCCCACCCCCGTCCCCGCCCTGCCATGCTGTATCCTCACTTGGCGGGAAACGTCTTTTTCCCTCTGGTCTGCTTCTCAGAACTGAGGGGCTAAGTCTCTGCATTAATTCTGGGTCCTGTTGATAACCCCCAAGCAGGATGCCTTTGAGAAGTGGAGTTGGAGGCTGGCACTATGAATGCAACTGGAAATGAGCAGTGGGAATGCTGTAAGAGTTGATTTTTTTCTCTCTCCAGAACTGGAAAAATGGAGTTACAGATGGGAGGAAGGAGTCCAATGGATATTTGAGATTCGTGTTGAGCTGGCAAGCAGCTCTCGTGCCAGCAGGACCTCAGAAAGGGGATGGCTGTCCAGCGGTGAGTGGAGATTAGAGAGTGAATGCCGCTGTCTTGAAAGCATTGGCATAAGTCACCTGTATTTCAGTGGCAGTCCCTTGGGTAAGTAAACTGCTGTGGAGTCTGACAAGGGCTCAGTGCCCAGGAGGGGCGTGGGGCACCTGAAGTAACACTGCTTTGCAGAAAGACAAAGTCTGAGCTGAAGACGCAGATCTGAGTGTTTGCCACAGACCACTTGTTATGCATACACCATGGCTGCTTGTGGAAGCTCCTCAAGACCAAGCCAAGTAGACGTGTTATTGAGCTTTGGAGAAATGGCTGTGTGGCTGCGAACTAGGAGAGGTGTGATGCTAGAACCAAATGTGCTGCAGACAGGAGTTGGAACCAGCCAGGATATGACCACTGGGCTGCCTCACTGTGGGAGAAGGCATCAGCATTAAATGGTAAGAATCTACTTTCTCTCCATTTTCTTTTGGGATGGGAACTGCAGCTTTTGGTGTAAGACAAAACCCCTGCAATTTCTTGAATATTCCCTTTCTGAATATTCAAGGGTAGGAAGGCCTCAAAAGGAGAGACGGAACTTTCTAAAAATTAGGCAATAGGGCTTGAATGGCTTACAGACAAAGAAGTCTGTCAGTTTGTGATGAAGGTACTACCATTGATACATTAAAGAAACACAAGAAGTTTTTTAGCTGGAGAAGAGTATACTTGTATATGATGTTATCAAAGCTTTCATTTTTTCCAAATATATTAGTCTTATTCTGTGTCATTTTGGAGAGCAAGATAATAAAAAACTGTCAGTTGCATAAATATAAGAACAGATATTCATTACTATATCCCGGCACATGAATTCTGCACAATACATTTTTCAATAAATGATTGAATGCAGACATGACAAACGAAAACTTACAAGGAGGCAGATTTTTTGACTCAGCTCATCTAATAATTCAAGTTACTCTAAAATTAAATGGGCTACTCTCGAAAGGCAGTGGAGATCTCTCTCACTGAGTGAAATGGGAGCTAAAAGACCGCTTTACAGGTTTGCGATAGAATGTGGCCATTAGCTAACGGTTAGGCCGCATGCCCTCTGAGATCTGAGAACCTGAGGTGCTCCCGGTCCTCCCCTCTAATCCAAGGGTCTCTATACATAGACTCAGGAGAAGTATAAATAGACTGATGATCTCAGAGGCATCTTCAAGAAGCATGTGTTCAATGGCATGTTTATTAAACAAACGCTCACGACAGATTTTCACAACAGCAACAAATGTTACTTCACTACATCGAATCTCCCTTACTAAGGAAAAAAAAAAAAGACAATCACACAAGTTTGATGGATTTGAATTCTCTTTTCATGCCTTTTTGGGGGCCAAACCAGTCTCCTCAGTTGTCTTCCTGTGTTTTCTCTTCTTGAACTTCACCATCTTTCATCTTCTTCACCTCCTCTCTGGCTAAGTGTCCCCGGAAAACGGCCTGGATTTTGATAGCAGCGTTCTCCTCTTTCTCCTTATCTTCTTCAGGAAGCTCCTTCCCGGAAGGGAGCAAAAGAGACTTGGTAAACATTCCGTACAGTATTTTGATGCCATACAAAATAATGCATAACTTTAATAAATTTAGTGCTTGATGTAACAATCGAGTTCTGCTGCTTCCCGAGGAAGTTTTACACAGGTGTTATGTTATCTACACACCCGTGGTAATGGCCAAAATGGCAGGCGTTTTGTTTTGTCATTTTTTAATATGTCTCTGCAATAAATCAACATTGCCAACTTCTTCCCTCCAAAATAATTCCTATTTCAGCCCTGGCCAGGTAGCGCAGTTGGTCAGAATGTCATCCCGATATGCCAAAGTTGCAGGTTTGATCCCCGGTCAGGGGAGAATCAACCAGTGAGTGCATGGCTGGGTGAAACAACGGGTCCATGTTTCTCTCTCAAGTTAGTCAATAAAAATTACAAAACGAAATAGCTTGTATTTAACAGTTTCCTGAGCAATAACACTTTTGGGGGGTAGAGAATAAAAAAGAATCCTTGAAGCATGGTAAAAATGTTGAGAAGATAACAAATGTGCTGTTTCAAAATAATCATGACTACATAAAATGAATCAAAGTGTTAACTTCTTAATTTCTCAGTAACGAGCTAACCAAAAGCACACATTTAAAGTGGAGTGGCAGAGAGAAGCCTACTTAGTCCAATAATGTCAGAGGTTTTTTAGAAGATTTTATTTATTTATTTTAGGCAGAGTAGAAAGGAGGGAGAAAGAGAGGGCAAGAAACATCAAGGTGTGGTGGCCTCTCGTGTGCCCCCTACTGGGGACCTGACCTGGTCCACAACCCAGGCATGTGCCCTAACTGGGAATCGAACCAGCGACCCTTTGGTTCACAGGCCAGCACTCAATCCACTAAGCCACACCAGCCAAGGACAATAATGTTAGTTTTAACATGATTGGTTTAAGTTTTGTGTCTAGCTTCCTTTAAAAAAATTTTACGTATGATTTACAGAGGGTGAAATACACAGTAAGTGTAAAATTCAATAGGTATGTAGCTTTTAATATTTTAAATTATAAAAGTGATACATATCCATTAAAAACCTTAAGTATCACTGGTAATGGAAGTTTTCCTCCCCCTTCCCAAATCCTGCTCCTAAGAGGTGACTATTATTATGGCTGAGTGTACCTAATTTTCCAAAACCTCTGAAGAGACAGAGTATTCATATGGGTACCTATCTGCCTTTTTATTTTAAGAATGAGTTCTGTTACTACTTTTTCCATGTAACGATGTATCTTGGTTCTCGTCATCTATGTTATTATTCAGTAGATAGCTCTGCCCATTTTTTTCCCATGACACCATCGAATTACACTGTATTGTTGGGCTTTGATTTATTTACTCTGCCTCCTATTGACAGAACTCTGGGTTGTTACCCCCCACCCATTACAATAAAGAGGCAAAGTTAGCTCTTAAACTTTTAAATGTAAACAAAATAGTATAAAATCCTCCAAGATGATGCTCTGATATGGGCAAATAAATTGTCCTGAGGTTGGAAATCAATGAGATCTCAACTCACACACATATGAAAACCTGTGTAAGGGCAGCTATTGAAGTTGAAAGGAAACAATCCCCCCTTCTTCCCTGATCTCCCACTGTCTCTTATGTCAGGCTGACTGAGTTGTACTGATATGATTCGGGAATAATTTATAAAGTTTCTAAGGAAAAGTTATGCCCCACTGGGTAGGAAGTAAGGTGGTCCCTGAGGGCGATGTCCATTTTAGGTGTTGATTATTGGGTGGCTGCCTGGGTCATGAAAAGGAACTCAAAAGTTTGGCCTTCAGTATTACGGAGAGTTAAGTTCTTCTTTCTCATTAGGACCATGAGGCTTGGTCCTCTTGAGTCTGGACTATGAAAAATATGGGTAGTGATATGCTGGCAAATGCTTTAAAAACTGGCTCTCTTGAAAGAAAGTCCTGATTTATAGTATTTTCATGGTCTCAATATTCCTTGTGTGGCTGATTTCAAGCTACCACAGTGCCCTTACTGAGCATGGGGCTGTGTAGAGATGTACTCAGCCCTCTCCTGAGAGCTGCAAGCTGGCTCTAGCACACAGAATACGGAACCCGTGCAGGTATCTACCCAGGTTTTACTACTTAGATGCAGGCTGTCAGGCAGGAGGTCATTTTTGCAGAGGGCAATGCATGCACGGTGAGTACGACACAGCGTGTGAAGCCATTTCATTTGGTTGTGGGTCATTCCCCATGAGTTTGCTTTTGTTGTCTGAACCTTTGTCACTGTGTGGTGGTAACAGCCTCAAGCAGTGAAAAGCTCCCAAACTGGGAAGCGAATCTGAAGGATGGAGAATGGGGCTGGTGAGTTCTGCCTCTCTTCCTCTTGAGGAGATGTATCCATCTGTTGACAATCTTGGAAAATAAGATTTTATTTTTGAGGGGAAATGAGTTTTCCTTTATAAATGGCATGGCCAAAAATAATCCACCAGTTAAGTGTCTCACTGATGCTAGTTATCTAGAAAGCAAAATAATAATTTTAACAACATGGATAACAAACTGGATTTGCATTTAGGGTATAATTTTAGATGGAGTGACTTCTTTCTAGGAATCCAACAGTATATGGAAAATATAACTTACCACGACTGTGACCGGTGTCTCCTCTGTCACAGATGTCTGCGACTTTTCTTTCTCAGGTGGCTCTTGCTCCTGGAGAGAAGGGAGAGACCAAAGAGGCAACGTTTCCAAATAGTAAAGTCTTGGATCAGACTCCTTGAAAGTGATTCAACATTACTTTTAAGATATTGAGGAGAAGGAGAAATTTAAAAAATACTGATTTTTTTTAAATAAAGGAAAATGGGTGACAAAAGAAGAAATAAATGAACACTCTTAAAGGGATGTGCATAAACAAATGTTAAAAATGAAAGAACTGGTAAACAAAATGATCACTTTTTTGCTTTTCAAATGTATGAAACATTATTTTACATTAAAAACAAGTCATTGTCTTATATTAAAGGTCAGTAAGATGCTGTAATGAGTCCTGAACAAAGTGTAAAGAAGAGGTGCCGATATTTTCTAAAGCAGAAATGAAATAAATGTCATTGTGTTTTATAGTGTGAAATCAAGGTGACTTTTTAATGAAGTTTGTAGATTAAAAACTAAGTCAAAAAAGTACATTTTCTTGTGGGGAGTGATGCAAATAGAAAAGGGGAAACCAGCCCTGCCTGTGTTGACATGTTATCGAAATCTTCCTCCGAAACAGAGACATGGCTAATTCACAACTTATGGGAAGGGCTTCCTTAATCCACAAAACAGAAAGGACATACAAGCTAATGAAATCAAGTCTTTAGAATTCAAAAGAGAAGGAAGAAACAGCTGATGTCACCCAAACGTTTAAACATTTTCAACATTTTTCCTTTGATTTCAATAAAGCGTGAACACAAAGAATCCAGTTAAATGGATATAAACAGATTCTCTCCTCCTCTTATCTGGCAGGCACAAATGGGTGGAAATTCACTTTTGAATTCGGAATAAGTGACAGATATTTCCCCAGGAAATTCCCCAAATCTACTGTGGAAACACTATCAAAAGTTGAACTTTGTTAATTCCTTCTAATTCAAATGCCTGCAGGTTCTTTGTGGCTAGTGTTTTATCACAGTTGTCTAGTGTAGTGCTTTCTCAGGCTTTAAGTGGACCTAACATTTTACTTTGGGGATCTCGCTGAAACTCGACTTCTGATCTGTAGACCTGGGGGAGGGCCTGAGACTGAATTTCCACCAAGCTCCCAGCTGATGCCAGTTATGCTGGCATTTCTCAACCAGTATTCCTGATCTGGACCACAAAACAGAATACTTAGACCATTTTCCCAATTCTCCAAAGGATGATCCATAACTAGAAGCATTCTAGATGCAAAGGAGAGACAGTGACTCCTTACATGCAATGGGTGCCTTCCGCTTGGCCTTAACTACTAATATTTTGAGGAACCTTAGCTGAGAAAGACTGGTTCAAAGAATGCTACTAGAGAGAAGATAGGTTCAAGTCTCTGAACAGATCAGCTTTGTAAAGAAAACTCTGTCTACCATCTTTAATTCTACTCGGTCTTCTGTAAAATGTCAACTATAACAAAATAACTAAATTAAGTATTTATTATTTCACAAAATAAATCTATGAAATATCACTCATTAATTCAACAAATATTTACTGCTACTGCTAAGCACTATAATGCCCAATAAAATCTGAAGAATAATTATCCTATGACTTTCCATTACATTCTTCCTGTTCATCATCTAAAATTTAAACTATGTATATGTGATTCAGATATACTTTGGAAAAGAATTTCTCATCAGAAAGAACATTACAATTAAGAAGGTTTAATAAAGTATTCATGATGCCTCTCAGAATTTTCATGATTCTGGGGAGATCCCAATAATTTCTGTTCTGGAGACAGGGAGAAGTAACCAGACCCATTAGTTTCAGAGGGCCATACCTTGAATGCATGCTTGTTGTAGAAGAGGTCGTCTACCTTAGCCCCCCATTCTGCTGGATCAAAGTTGGTTTCTAAGTAATAAAATAATAATTTTAGACTTATTTTGAGTTTATTGAAGCAAATATAGAATAACACAAAACAAGTGTTTTTCAAATCCCAGGTTCATTACTGCTAGCTGAAAATCTCACTGCTGTTGAATACAGCCTAGTGCTTGCTGCAGATCTAACCAGCGATCATGAAATAGATGCTGATGAATTAAACATCGGATGAGCCGTTGGATATTTTTAGAAAGGCAGTAAAAAACCGCTAAGTGCTGCCTTCATAAAGTTTATAACAAAATGGGGAGAGAGAACAAATGCCAATACTTAAATATAAGTATAGAAACTTATAAGCATAAATTAGTAAACACAGGAAAACGTATAAAAATAAATGTTAAATAGTAAGAAAGTTTGGAAAAGTGAAGGATGGGAATGTTTTTTAAAATTGAGGCATATTATATAGGTAGTTGACATAGATAGAAACAAGTATTCATATTTAAACAAAGTTTTTAACTTCTAATTATGAAAAATTTCAAACTTAGAAAGCAGAAAATAATATGCGCACATAACTCAGATTCAACAATTATAAACTTATAATTTATCTTACTTTATCTGAAAGTTCACTCATTCTTCTGCTCTTTCTTCTGATTATTTTCAAGCCAACCCTAGGCATCATATTACTTTATCTACCAATATTTATTTCAGTAAGCATCTCTAAGATATAAAGACATAATACCATTATCATACCTAAAAATACTAACAATAATTCCTTAATATCAACTACCCAAATTTCTCTCATTGTCTAATAATATTTTTCAGTATTTACTTATTTATTTATATTGTTGATTTGTTCAAATCAGGACCCAAACAATGGGCATGCACAAACTTGTATTATGCGTTTTAATTTTCTTTTCATTGAAAGCTCCCTATCTCCCACCCCATCTTTTTTCCTTGCAATGTATTTGTTGATAAAATTCGGTCATTTTTCTTTGGAGTTTTCCATAGTCTAGATATTTTTTATTCCATTCCCATAGTGACTTTTAACAAATTCCTGTTTTTGAATTTCCTATACCCTGCTAGTTAGATCTCCAATGATTTACATTTGACTGTTTTTGGCAAAAATACAAGTAGTGCAGTGTAATTCTGTCAGGAGATATACAACACCTAGTTGTCCCTCTTTACATTTTCTATGGGCCCATTGATGATGAGGATTGCTTAGATAATTTCTTTAGGTGTTGCACAGTGGTAGTGTTCAAATTTTATCATTACTTCATCTCTGGAGCACTCAATAAAGAAAAGCTTCCCCTCATCAACTATTTGGTTACCCTGAAATACAGTTCTTACAGAAAAGGTAAGAAAACTTTCTTACAGAAAGTTTTCTTTCTTTACCAGCTTTCAGAATAATCATTTGGTTCCTTCGGATTCTCTCAAGGAGCTTCTTCTTTTTAATCATTGTGAGCTCATGAATATTTAACAAACTAGATGAATTCTGACCCATTGTATATCTTATTCTAATTGATGCCTGTCAAAAATTGGCCAGTAGGGGCTTATTAGGGTGCTCAGATGCTCTTGAGTCCTTTGGAAACAACTCAAGTAATCTTTGATGGTTTCCTTATTTTCTGGTATGGCAAGATGTTCAGGCTCATCTTTGTATTTCTTATCCAGTTTAAGGAATTACCTAGTTCTCCAAGAAGCCTGGTGCTCATTGGTACTGTGTTGGTCTTTGTTTTGAGGCCTGAAAATGTATAGAGCCCTGGCCAGGTAGTTCAGTTGGTTAGAGTGTTGTCCCAACATGCCAAGGTTGCAGTCTGATAGCCAGTCAGGCACATGTAAGAATCAATGAATGAATGAATGCATTAGTAAGTGGAACAATAAACCTGTTTCTTTCTCTCTTCCTCTACCTCTCTCTTAAAAAATCAATATTACAAAAAGTTATTTTTAAAAAAGCAGTAACTAGTGAATGCACAAATAAGTAGAATAAATTAACGTTTCTCTAAAACAAATAAATTAAACAATGTATGGAGCTAGAAAACACTTCTTTTATTTTTTTGTAAAGATTTTATTTATTTATTTATCTTTAGAGAGGAAGGGATGGAGAGAGGGAGGGAAACATCAATGTATGGTTGCCTTTCGTGCATCCCCTGCTGGGAAATGGCCTTCAGGGAACCAGCCTGCAACCCAGGCATGTGCCCTGACCGGGAATCGAACTTCAATCGTCTGGTTCGCAGGCCTGTGCTCAATCCACTGAGCTACACCAGCCAGGGCTCACTTATTTTATTTTTAAAGAGAAAATATATCATGAGGTCAAACTGATATTTTTTCAATTCAAATTGAGAATTACATGATTTTATTAACTATTTTTATATGTGTAATTTTTCTCACACTAAACATCTTATTCCTAATTACAGCAGGATACTTATTTGCTATGTCCTACAATTTATAAGCAATAATTACAGAATAACTATACTACAATGTTAACAGTAATTGCTAAAAATAATGTAAGATCTGGACTTTTGCCAAGATGGAGGCGTAGGTGGAAGCACTGCACCTTCTCGCACAACTAAATTTAAAAACAACAAAGTTTTAGCAACAAAAACGCAGCCAAACCACAGAAAATTGAACTACATGGAAGTGTAGTTCAGCCAAACAGGTAGGAGGGGCAGAGCCAGCTGCAGAGCTGGGTCGGGCAGGAAAGATCCACCGGACTGACCCGGGCGAGGGACCCAGGTGTGCCAGCAGCCGTGGGCTGATCCCAGGTGTGGAGAAGCGGGCGGACCCGCTGAGGATGCAAGGCGGTGGACCCACTGAGGGCTGACCGCGGTCACACATTCGCGTGCAGATAAACCGGTGAAGGAGCTAGCACTGAGACAGACCACATAGGCCCCAGTGGCAGGAAGTGGCAGGGGGAACTGCCATTGTCCCTCTCTGACCCCGCCTCCACATACAGCGTCACAACCCAGTGACCTGGGTGGCCCCACCCTGGTGAATATCTAGGGCGTCTCTCCTCATATGTAACAGGCACGAACAGATCAAAACATGGCTCAAGAATAACTCAGAGCCCCAGAGCCGATAAATCTAAGCGATGAAGAAATAGCCGAAGTTTCAGATGCGCAGTTCAAAACATTGGTGATCAGGATGCTCACAGAACTGGTTGATTTTAGTCATAAATTAGAGGAACATATGAAGGCTAAACTAATAGAAATGAATGGAAATACACAGGAAACCAATAGTAATGGAAAGGAGACTGGGACTCAAATCAAAGGAGTTGCATCAGAAAGAGGAAAAAAATGACAAGACAGAAAAGGATGAAGAAACAAGAATTCAAAAAAAATGAGGAGAGGCTTAGGAACCTTCAGAACATCTTTAAATGTTCTAACATCCGAATTATAGGGGTACCAGAAAGGGAAGAGGAACAGCCACCAGTGGGAAACTCATTTGAACAAATAATAAAGGAGAATTTCCCCAATTTGGCAAAGGAAATAGACTTCCAGGAAATCCAGGAAGCTCAGAGAGTCCCAAAGAAGTTGGATCTAAGAAGGAACACACCAAGGCACATCATCATTATCATTACATTAGCCAAGATGAAAATGAAGAAGAGAATCCTAGAAGCAGCAAGAGATAAGGGGACAGTCACCTACAAAGGACTTCCCATCAGACTGTCAGCAGATTTCTCAAAAGAGACCTTACAGGCAAGAAGGGGCTTGAAAGAAGTACTCCAAGTCATGAAATCCAAAGACCTACATCCAAGATTGCTCTATCCAACAAAGCTTTCATTTAGAATGGAAGGGCAGATAAAGTGCTTCTCAGATAAGATCAAATTCAAGAAGTTCATCATCACCAAGCCCTTATTATATGAAATGTTAAAGGGACTTACCTAAGAAAAAGAAGATACAAAAGAGAACAGTGAAAGGACAGCAAACTCACAGTTATTAAGAACAACACCTAAAACAAAAGCAAACTAAAAGGACAGCTAGATCAGGAGAAGAAACATAGAAATGAAGATCTGAAGGAGGGTTAGCAACAGGGGAGTGGGAGGAGGAGAAGGGGGGAGAAGGTACAGAAAATAAGTAGCATAGATGGTAGGTAGAAAATAGATAGGGGGAGGGCAAGAATAAATAGTATAGGAAATATAGAATCTAAAGAACTTGAGACACGTGGTCATAAACTAAAGGGGGGGAATGGTGGGGGAGGGGTGTGCAGGGTGGAGGGGAATGAAGGGGGGAAATAGAACTGTAATGGCATAATTAATAAAATATATTAAAAATTAATCTAAGATCCTTTTCATTTTGCTTTTAGGCTATATACATCAGGGGTGTACCATCAGATTACTTCCTCATAAAGTCACTGGAAATAATTCCAGTCCATGGTTATGCTACCCATTCAATGGATTTGTATGATGCAAATTTGCTTCTAAATTTTAGAAATTGTTTACCAATTTTAAAATTTTATCCTATAACTGTTAACATTTATGATTTTGAATTCAAGATATATTCAGAGAAATCTAGCTTCTATTTTGTTTCCTCCACTGTTCCTTCTGCCCCAAGAGGTATTTAAAAAAATTATTCCTTCATTAAAAAAATATAAATGAACATTATGTATTCATAGCAACACCCCTTCATTAGGCAATGAGTAGCATACTAACCCTAACGTATGCTTCCACCTGTTTTCACCTAATTTATCTGGAAGGTCACTCTACAGCATCACATAGAGACCTTCCTCTCCTGTTTTTTAAACACAGTATAATACTCCATTAAAGTATTAAGTAAATACTATTATCTAGTCAATAAATCCATATTATGGATATTTGGGTTGCTGCCTCAAATAACAATGCAGTGAAAAGTGAAGTAGTGGAATTTCTGGGTCAAAGGTTAAAATATATGTATAATTATGGTAGATGCTGCCATTTCCCCTCCCTGGGGTTGTATCATTTTGTACTTCCTCCAGCAATATACACAAGTAACTATTTCCCTCTAGCCCTGCCTGGAATAAATCGGCAAGCTTTTGGCTTTTTGCCAATCTGCAGAGTGAGGTTGGCGGTGGTGGTGGTCTCAGTGTCATTTTGATATGTGCTTCTATTATTATGGGTTAGTTTCAATGTGCTTTAATAGGTCAAGGGCCATTTGCATTTATCTGTGTGGGAACTGTTGGCTCAGATCACTTGCCTGGTTTTTTTAAATATAGCATTGTTAGTTTCTCTCTTTACTGTTTTACAAGCTCTTTATTTATTAGGTTGATTGACCAGCTGTGATATTAATTGCATACCTTTTTTTTTTCTGTTTGTCATGTGTAGTTTTATTTCCCTTATGGAAACTTTTGTCATGTGATATTGTCAATTTTATCCATCTCTTCCCTGATTGCTCCTCGATTTTTAAAGGTATTATAGCAACTTAGCTAGCCATCTTTCCTTTTATGTTACGGAGAAATTTATCCATATTTTCTTCCAATATCTGTATGGATTCATTTTTTTAAATATTTAAATCTTTGATTAATTTGGAACTTGTCCTGGTGAACCATGTAAGGAATAGATCAAATTTTATCTTTTTCCATCTTTATTATATATCTTTCATAAAAAGCCCACCTTTTCCCAATGATATTGAGGTAACACTTATTTCACTTGCCGGCATGTTTCCTGTCATAAATATCAGAATTAAGACTAGTGATTACCTATGAGGAATGCTGGTAAGGAGATTCTTGCCTTGTGTGAGAGACTGGCCCAGAGGACTTTATGCTTCCCTTTTGGAGAGACTAAATTCTAACACTTGTATCAGTTGAATAACTCACCTTTGGTTTATAGGAGTGAAAATGGGTATGATGCTTACAATCTTTTCATATAGTTTCAACCACTTAGTTAGAGAGCCAGTATTCCGACACTATCACTCTGAGTCACTGATTACTTTCATTGTCATGAGCCAGTAACAAAGTTTTTGTAATGAGATGTTTCTGAGGTCTAAAATTGAACAAATGACTAAAGACATTTTACTCATGAATTTGTAAAATAAAGTTAAAATAACAAAATTAAATTAATGTTCATTACAATTCACCTCTTACCCTAAAGGATTTCTCTTAATAGCTTTTTAGTGGCATTTAAGTTTTAGATTCTGTGACAAATACTCACAGTGACTGGATAGGGGGAAGATCAGCAACATTCAGGAAACTGGCAGAGACCTTGAGCTCTGCCAGGGCAGAGCAAGGAAGACAAGGGGACAGAGAGGTCTGCTGTCTCTGTGGGAGTTGCTTCCATCCAGGCTTTGCAGGAGGTTTTCTCCCTCTAAGTCGATTTAAAATGGAAGGTTTATTTACTTGTGGCTACTTCTAGGCACCTTTGCCCCTTGATTAGAACACTGTAACGAAAAGTAATAGTAAAGGGGTGGAGAGGTAGGTGGAAGTAGCAAAGCCAGGGGGGTGGGTACAGAAAGAGGCCTTGTTTGGTGCAGATCATGTTTTATTGAGTTGTACACTAGAAATCTGTATGGTTCTGTGAACCAGGGTCACTCCAGTAAATTCAATAAAAGTAAATAAATAAATGAATAGAATATGCTGAGATTTCCACATCCTCCCCTATTAATGACAAAAGCTTATGTTAAAATGGTTGCTCTAGTTATACGTTTTTTTAATAGAAATTTACAGCTGTGATAACTGCCATTTTGACCATTAGGTCGGGTCTGGATAGTCGTGAACCTTCAAGGCTGGAAATTTGAAAACCTTACTTTTGGAAGTGAAGAGACTGCTTTGGCTCTCAACGAGAGCCACTGTCGGCCTGAATCTTAGTCTCTGAGCAGGATGGGGCCTTGCAGGTACAGAAGCAGAATAAACATCGCCTTCCCAGGCTGAAGTTCACTTTCAGAGCAGCTTTTCTCTGTGCCTGTACTGCATGTAGACCAGTTTCATATCCCTCAGTGAATAACAACAACTCATTCAATCTAAGGAGTTTTGAGTTATTTTTACAACACTTATAATACTTTCAAATCAAAAGAGCAAACATATAAAGAAAACCACAAAGTCGCAGTCAACCGTCCCGGGGCCTGGAAGCGGCCCTGGAAAACAGAGAGCCACCCGGGGGGATCTCTGAGGTTCCTTTCCACCCCGTGGGTCCCTGAGGAAAGCCACGGACAAGGTCTGGGGAATGAACTGGCCACCTTCGCTGACCTAAAGTAACGGGATCTAAGAGACCCTGCCCAAAAGGCCCCCACTATTTCCAACGGCAAGAACTGTCATGAGGTGCCGCCTGCTCCATAGAGGCTGTGTCTGTGGAACAGGGAAGGTCTTAAACAACTTTCACCATAACCGAGGGCTCAGTCTCTTATGTACTGAAGTGCCTATTTTTTAAAAGCTTACTCTCTCTTTTCTCTAGAAGCTTCTCAAAATATGCTGCTGCGAAAGATGGTATATTGTCCGGTTGCTCCCTCAGAATCTCACGCGTCAGCCCTTCCAGAAGATTCCCAAATCCTTGTGGAATTCGGTAGTGGGTGTTGGAGAATGGGATCGACATCTTCTTGGAAGGAACTGCCTACTGTACCTGGAAATTTATTAAAGAGCGTCGTCTTAAATGTGTCCGATTTTACTCACACGATCACAACTACGGCCACAATATTACTGAGAACGAAATTTCCTGGACTTACATATTTTTCCCGAACACAATCCCAGCCCACCCATTTGTTCCGAAGACTCTTGAATTCTCCATTATTAATTAGACTGTTACAAATACAGGCCAATTGAATAGGTTGGGTCATTCTTTTAATTTAGTGAAAATCAGAGATTTTCCACTAAAACAGTACTTTTTCTATCTCGATGTCTTTCTGTATTTAAAAGGTGAGGGTTCTTTTTGCTATCTCACAGGGATTTAGAGAGAATGATTGTCAAAACTTCACAATAAATTGCTGAGAAGATCCGTTTTAGGGTCTCAAATTTTTTTTTAAAAAATTAAAGTCAGAACCAGTCCTGGTTCTAGAAATTACTCTAATTTTTTAAGTTTCACACTTTTAAAGCATGACTTATAATGCCTTATAATACCTATATATGCTGGAAGGGGCGGCTGGGGCGGTAGGACGGGCGAGGGGCAGTCCTAATTTTGCAGCCCCAGCCTCCAAAGTCTTGGGATTCTTATTTCTCCGTTTTGCCTTGACCAGGTCTCGCCTTCCTCCCCTGGCACACGCTGCGGCTCGATGGAGGACAGCTGCCAGGGAGCGGGCTGCGCGGCGGCGGGGTGAGCAAAACACACTCTGGACCCGGCCTGTTGTGAGTCAACGCCGAATAACCGGACTAGACGGTTTCCCGAGACCTAATCCGTCAGGGTTATTTTTTTCCCCTTTTCGAGGGCAGAGGAGATGAGGTATTACATCCTGTTCGGGGTGTGAAACGGACTCGTGAGCCCTCGAGCGGATCCTAGGAGCTGAGGGCCGAGGGAGGGGGCGGGACGTCGAGGAACCGGGCTTCACAGCCAGGCGGCTGCTTGGGTCCCCCGTCTGCCCGAGGGTTCCCTGAATGTGTCGGGGACCCTCAGCAATTATGAGAGGCGAAGGGAAAAGAGGAGGTCTCGGTTTTGGATGGGAAGTGGGGTCAACAGCCTCACCTCTTCTTTCTCCTAGAGCTGGTGGCGATGGATCTAGTTGTTTTTTCTCGTTGCTGAGGAACCGTTTATTCAATCAACTACGGCGGCCGAGAAGGCCTGCCCCTTCTCGCGGACCACTTAGCGGACGACACAGCCTGGAAGGGTGGGGCCAGGCTGCCCCGCCCTATGGCCCCGCCCCACACAGGCCAGGCCCCTCCCCGTCTGGGCTCCGCCTCCGCGTCCGGGAAGTTCTGCTCCTCCTGGTGGTCGTCGTCCGGAGGTCCGCGCCGGGAGGCGGGTCTTAGCAAACGTGGTCGCGCAGGGGTTTGTACTGGGACTGTTGCTGCCCTTAATCCTGCAGGCTCGCACCAGGGCAGGTGAGGCGGCCTGGCTCGACCCGACCCCCCCCCCGTCAGCCTGGGGTACAGCATCTGTGGTGCTCGGACCGCCCCCTCCACCTGCTCCCACACCCTTCTCAAGGTCGGGAAGGCGTCTCCAACTCAGGCCTGCACTGCGGGTGTTGTTGGGCTCCCACTCTTCCGCTTCCTCCCTCTTGTCCTGCCGTTAGGATGCAGTGCTTTAGGCAGACGCGGAGTTGGGTTTATCTGAGTGGGGAGGCTAGCAGAATTACTGCTGCAGACCTGGAAGAGGAGGGTCAGAGACAGTTAGGTAATATTTGGAAACAGGTGCGTGAGTCATCCAAAACATTTGGAGTCCTCTCAGTGGTACCCTGGGGGAGGGTTTGCTTCAGACAAGGAATTAAATCTTACTAGTTTAATTGGGCTAAAAAGTACAACCCCCTCACTAGCTCAGAATATTTCAGGCTCAACTTTGGTTTCTGGTGCAGCTTACAGATACTGATGGTGGGATAATATGCGTGGCACTGGGGAGGAGGGTGACTCACTGACTATTGTCCAAGTCAGCCCTTGTCATTTGACTTCACAAGGCTGGACACTGGGTCACAACAATGGAAAAACTAGAAGCTCTGCCTGCTAATGCAAAGTTAAAGTGGTAATGCTGGGCCCAGTTTTTCCTTCAAACACTCAAATAGTGGGCCACAAAAATCCCTGTTAAGAAATGAAAGTTGAGGTGGGAGGACAGTTGGACTGCAGAAATACGACCACTGCTCTCCTTAAGAATCCAAAAAGGACCCAGATGCAGACAAACCACAGTGCATAGGTGGCTTTTCTGGGTTTAACTGAAGTGTAAACGAATCTTTTTCTCTCATCCTCATATGTCCCCTGTAACGTATGAGGTGAGGAGAAGACAAAGAGAAGACCAGGGCCATTATTTTATTAGTTTCCTCTGTTGAAGGCTCATTTGATATCAGTATTTGGAAGGTACTGTGCTAAACAACCTGCAGATACTAAGTTGAACTGCAGGGTGTTTAGCACAGGGCCTGCCGCAAGTAAACCATCAGTAGCTCCCTGCTGGCAAGGTTTTTGTGTGTTTGTTTTTTTCAGTGCTTAACATGGTGCCTGGCACATAGTAGGTATCAATAAATATTTGTTGAATTAATTCATAAGTATGCAAGCTATTTTAAAAAATTACCTAATCTCCTTGGGTCTCAGTCTGTTGATCAGTAAGTAATGTGTTTATACCGCAGGGTGTGCACCATCCTTCCTACCTCTAAAATTCTTTGATTCAGAACAGAGCCATGCACAAAGAGGTTCAGTAAGTGTGTGCTGGAGAAGAAAGACTGATTTGGGAAGGTGTTTCCCCCAGCCTCCAGGATGGTGGCTGAGCACAACTAGAACGCTCCATTTGCACCGGCTCCTATGCCAGTGGCAGCCAGATTTTCTTCACTCCATTCCCTCTTTAGGCCTTTCGTTTTCAGTTTTGTTCCATAAGAAGCACCTACCCAAGACAAGGCCTTCCCACACACATGCTTTTCCCCTTCTCTCCAGCAGGCTGCCAAGGTGCTTATGCAATTCCCCCTGGTGTGATACTAATCTCTTAGAGCATTTGCTCCAGGCAGCCATGCATCTCCAACCCAGTGGGCCTTCTGGATGAACTTTGGCACGTAGGTTTCATGATGGAACTAATTCTTAAGAGAGAGCTGAGGCTGTTTTTTTGGGACTGGGGCTGTTTGAAGTGCGGGACAAATAGGCCACTGAGTCTGTGTAGGAGGCCCCATTAGCTGTGTGTTCGGGAATATAGCCTGAGGGGCCATCATCATTTGTAGCTTCTAGGGAAGGAAATGTCAACCTTGTTAGGTCTGGTTCTCTTTCCTGCCTATCATTTTTCAAAATCTTAATTGTATTAATTATTTTCTTCTAGGATTTTTGGGTCTGTTTAGACAAAGCTTAAGGTTTTCCCCCACCTTTTAAGTCTTGATAAGGAACTCACCGATAATTTGGATAGATGCTGGTTATTAATAAAATACTTTGATATAGGCTGGATGTTAAAAATAGGAATGATCTTGTTAAAATGAGTTGTTATTCAGTCTTGTTAGTGACTCTAGAATAGAATTCACAGTTTCAAGTGCTCTTCCTCTTGTTCTTTGTGCATAATTTCGCTTGTGAAATGGGTAAAATGATGACAAAAGACCTTTGTTCAGACAGCTTGACTTTCTAACTTGCACTGACCTTATTTTTTGCACCTTGATTTATCTGAATTTACCTTAGAAGGAAGCAGACTTATTACAGATATTTATCCATGCTTATTTAGAATTTTCAGTGGATTGTCAAAAAACCACAATAAGGGGAATTACTTGAGGGAAATTCATACGGGTAGGGTGGAAAGGGGGGAACGATTTAGAGAGGGCTGGCTGGAGAGAGGCAGTCTTCTTAATTCCCAGTTACTCGGGAGTGGGAGTGGTAAAGGAAAGGAGGGGAAGGAAGTGGTTTATTTTTCTCATAAACACCATCTGTAGGGTGCATAAAAGGAGCATTTTGGTGATTTGGGAGGAGAGAGTGAAGCATTCGGGCCAAGCCTGAGAGCAGAGGCAGATCAAGGGCTCTGAAGGGGAGGAGGTCTGTGGTATATCGGCCGCCCTAGGCTCTTGGAGTTTTCCTTCTTGGTCTTGTACTGTGGTGCATATTGTTGGAAACTGTTTTTGTGATGTCACTTACCTAATTAGGAGGAATAAGATCTAGTTTTAGAAGATTAAAAGTACTGATTATATTCAAATTCTCTGGTATAAAGACAGTGTGTTCCTTGCTCATTAACTAGATTCTGTCAGTGATGAGTCTTCCTAGTGATCTCTTCTGTTTGCTGAATTTCCAGCTGCTGATTTTCGATTTGCCTCACACATCCATAATCACATGGTGCTTCAGAAGGAGCCCGCAGGGGCGGTGATTTGGGGCTATGGCACACGGGGAGCCACAGTGGCAGTGACTCTTCATCAAGATCAGGAAGTCATCATGAAGAAAGTGACTCCTGTGAAAGGTAAGGCAGCTCCCATTCTCTGTTCAGCTTTTATCTTCTTCTGCCACCTGCTGGATTGTCTGAAAATGAAAGCTTCCTCTCCAGCTCAGGCTGTCCATCCACCCATCCACCCACCCATCCACAGAAGTTGAGTGTTTACTGTGTGTGCTGGGCACTGAGGATACAAAGGAAATGAAGACTGAGCCAAATGGCCTGTTCTCAAGGAGCTGATAGAATAATAGGAGTAGACACCCAGTTACAGAGTGTGATAGCTGCTGTGGTGGAGGTGGACTTGGGGTGCCATGGGGTACAGAGGAGCAGCATCTGCCTGAGATTGGATGGTGAGGGTCAGTTTACACAGGAGGTGGCCTTTGAACTGAATCATACATCCAGGAGGGGCAGTATGTAGGAGTGGTTACAAACCTGGGCTCTGGAATTTGCTATCTGGGTTCAGGTCCTGACTCTGTTGCTTAATGGCTATATAACCTTGGACATGATATTTAATACCTCTGTGTCACAGTTTATTTATTTGTAAAGTGAGATGATAATAGTTTTTGAGATTGTATGGATTTTAAATGAATGAACACATAAAGTACTTTACAACAGTCCCTGGCACACATTAAGTACTGAATAAATGTTAACTGTTGTTATTGTTATTATTTTATCCAGTCACTCTAATATTTATTGAGGGTCTACTATGTGCCAGTTACTGTGTTAGGTGCTGTGCCAGTTACTGTGTTAGGTGCTGGTGATACAGTAATGAGCAAAACAGATATGGTTTCTCCCCTAATGAAGCTAATGGGTTAGGCGAGGAGACAGAAAAATAGCAAGCAATTACCGTTAAGTGTGGTAATAAGTGCCACAGTGGGGAAGTGCAAGGTGCAGTGGGAGTGCTTAGTAGGGATAATTAACTTCATCTTAGGTTTGCCTTGAAAGACAAGTAGGACAAATCAGGCAGAGGGAAGAGCTTGGGCAAAGGCAGGGAGGCACCAGTGAGCTGAGCTCAGGTCACTGGAGAAGCAGCAGGCTGGTGGGTTTGTCTGGAGCAGTGGGGTATGTGACTGGTGGTGAATGACAGGCGCCACAAGGTTGGAAATGTCCGGGGCTCGTTTGTCACTGTTAAGAAGTGAGTGCTCTATTTTGGATGGATGAGCTTCAAGCACAAAATAACACAATCAGATTTGTATTTTAGATTGCTCTGGCAGCGCTGGGGAAGAGTGATTGCAGATGGGTCTGACTGGAAGTGGGACCTGTTAGCAGGCTGTTACGTGTTCAGACAATGGACAGGGGAGGCTTGCCCCAGGGTGGTGTCCGTGAGGATGGTCAGGAAGGTGAGACTTAGCAGCCTGGTGGAGGAGCCCCTGTCTGAAAGAGATAAAGGCGCTGGGGGTGGGGGGCCAATGTGTTTGTTAGGCTTTGGTTTGTGTAGATCCACAAGCCTACTTCACTGGGCATCCTGCTCCGTCTGCCCATGGAGCAAACTGAGTAAAGTGTTATTTGGAATAAAGAAGGACAGAAAAGAAAATGTTTCTCAAAGGAGACACTATAGGGTACATTGAAGGGTTGGCTTCTAATTCCACATCCATGAGGACTCTGGGAATTTTTCAGCTAGACTACCTCAGCTCCCCACTCTGTATCTTTCTGTTAATGTTTAACTTATTACTTGTAACCCCTTAGCTGCCCACAACAAAGTGGAATTTAACAACGTAAGGTTTTTACCGGGGAGACCGACACTTAAACATTGGGAAAATTGAAACCCGGCGGGTGACTGGGCGTATGGTCAGGCCCTGGGCCCCTCAGACCACATCGTCAGATGACGCCGGGTGGTTCAGGCACAAGGAGTGGAACTGGGGGACAGGGCGCGGCCTCTCGCTCTGACACACAGGGATGCGCATGTGCATGACGGGAGGAGGCTGTGTCTGCCTGGACTTGTCAGCCTCATTGAAGTAAACAGATAATATTTAACTTAGAAAATAAAAAGTCCCTGGTTGCAGTGTTAGCCTGCACACTCGTTTTCTGTGCTACATAATAAATGACCACAAACTTAGGTGCCTGGAACTGCACACTTGTACTGTCTCACAGTTTCTGTAGGTCCGAAGCCCAGCCATTGTGTAGCTGGTGCTCTTCTCAGGGTCTGCCGAGCTGAATCCCAGGCGTCAGCAGAGGCCCAGCTGGGGACCAGTCCACCGCCAAGCTCCGTCTGCTGCTGGCAGGTTCACTGCCTTGTGCCTTAGGGTTCATGGCTGCATCATGGCTGCTTCCTGCCTCTGACCTCTAGGTCCTCTTTTGAAGCCCTCACCACGTTAGGTCAGGCTTGCCCAGGGTAATCTCCCTTTTTATTAACTTCAAGTCAGTTGATTTAGGATTTTAATCACATCTCCGAAACCCCTTTATCTCTTTCATACAGCATAACCTAATCAGGAGAATGACATCTCATCCCCTTTGCCCTGTTTTGTTAGTTAGAGGCAGATCACAGGTTCTGCCTGCACTTGAGGGGCAGGGGTTAGACCAGGGTGTGACTTGTTGGGGGTCATCTTAGGGCGTGTCTGCCACAGCATGCTACAGTTGAAGTGACTTGTATAAACAGTTGTATTAACAGACAAGTACTTGAGGTTTTTTTTTTAACATTTATGTTTGGTGGTGGTGGAGGTGGACTTGACAGAGAATAAACGTAGGCTGGAAAGGGGCAGCTTGGCCTCTGAAGCTTTCTTTACCTCCCAGTCACTTCCACAGGTCACTGAACCCGTTTGCAGCTGGTGAATGCCAGGGCTCTGCGTGGGAAGTGAACAGAGTGGCTTCTTTCAGCTCGAGGTTTTTCCTCGTGGGAAGGGAAAGGTTGTGGATAATTTTCCCTTTTCTGTTCTTGGCATCCGAGATTTGGCACAACAACCTGAAAAATAATTAACATCTGATGTGAATAGCAGAAAGAAAAAAGAAAGCACTTCATGAGTAATCATGTCTTTAGACAAATTATTTTGATATTTTTCCCTTTGATTGTTCGTTCTTCCTATTTTTTAAATGGGGATTGGGGAGGGAGATGCAAAGGAAATGGAGATAGAGTGATCTTTACCTATGTCTGCGGCTGGAGTGTGAGGAGAAGAGAAACAGTGAATAGGCCACAAGGTAGGCTAACTGTCAGACAGGGAAACACGAAGCCCTAGGTAGTTTGCAAGGCTTTCTGGTCAGGGTAGCTGAGGGCGGGGTCTTTTTGTCTTTTACATGATGGAGCTCCTGGTACACTCTAGCTGTGTTATGGAGGAAGGGGATGAGCCTTCCCAGATGGGAGGAGAAAGAATGTGCGGAAGCAGAGATGGGAACATGGTGAGCATCTACAGCAGCCTGGGCCTGGCCTGGGAAAGACGTTACAACATAGCACGTGGTTAGGGCCCAAGGGAAGGAACCAGAGCAGCTGCTGCTCACGAAGCCCACCGGGGTCAGCAGGGGCCCAGCTGGATGGTGAATTTCAAACTCTTGTGGTCAGGGACACAGTTTTATTATTTGGATTCAACCCGTTGGACTTGGTGGGGCAGCACAGTTTCTAAAGACTGTAACTTGGACTTTAGCATCCTGTGGTGAGGTCCGTTTAGTTCTAAACTGACAGGCTGAGGACCGTTCACTTCTCCTTGTGAAAGTAGGTGGCTTCTGCCCATATAATCCCACCCCTGCCTTTGATCTAAGAAACAGTCTTCATGGGGGGCTGCTCTCCTTTGAGCATACTTAGAAATGTAAATTCTCATTGTTTTAAGTGGATTGTTTCTGAGTAACTCTGACCCTAAGTAACCTCTCTGTAGGAGATCTGATTTCCCCCGCTTTGCCTGGCAGTTAACTTTTTACTCAACACTCACGACTGTACCAGAGTTTATTTTTCTATCAAGTGGGGAAAAGCTGGACACTGTAACTTGAGGACTAGAACAGAAGAAAGTTCTTTCAGGTCTCCAAGCGATGTGAGAGGTTGCCTCCGAACAGTTCTTGGGAATACAGCTCAGGCCTTGATGTGGAGTCCTCTCCACCCCTGTAGAGAGAGCTCATCCTCCTGCGGTGGTAAGATGGTATTGTCATGTTTTGCCCAAATGTCTCCCTTCTTTTATTTGTCTTTTTATTACTGGGCTACAAAGCTTTCAGAAACTCTGGTGAAGGCAGTCTTCTTGACCAGCCACACTACCTGGGTTGAGGTGCAGGGTAAATACCGCTTGACATCAGTGATGAGGATGGATTGTATAGCCGTAGAAGGCTAAAAAATTGCCAAGTTTGGTTTTTGGGGGGTTGAACTCATCAGTATGAATGAGTAACGGTGAGAAGGACAGAGCTCTGGTGAGGTAAGTCAGTGCAAGAAGCCTAGAAAGACCGTGGCAAGACTGCAGTGGGGACAGATTGGAGTGTCTGCCTGCTCAGAAGTGCGAGCTGTGCGGACACACGGAGCGTGCACACCTGTGCGACACAGTCTGCTCCGGCTGCCCACCACTGCCAACACAGTGGGTTTTCTGCTTTAGGGGAATTACACACTTTCTCTGTTGGTGTCTGGCTATCAGGGGTATAAAAACTGTAGCAGACTTGTGGTCCTGGGCCTGACTGACCCCTTAGGGCTGGGAGGAGCAGACACGCATCCTTTCACTGACGCCTTGGCGGTTTTGGACGTTCCCTCCCCCGCTCCCCGACTGAGCAGTGCTTTATGGTCGGATCTTTTACCGATCGCCTGCCTGTCATGCGTCCAGACTGCGTACGCTTCTGCTTAGCTCTTGCTGATGGCAAAGAACTGAGCACACTGTCCAGCACGTAGTAGTCACTTGGGTAGTATTTTTATACTTATTAATTTTTTGCAGGCTGGCATAATAACTTTGGGATGCCTCACTTTCAGTTTTTACTGTTCTTTTCCTTTGAATTTACGTTGATCCAAAGGGCACAAGTTATTAATCACTTCGTATTCTTCGGCATCATGCCAAGAATATTTCCTTTTAAATGCTTATTTCTCTGTTTTATCTATTTTCTCACTCTCATTTTTCCACTTTGTTCATGTGGTGTAGCTCTCCTGTGCATAATTTAGCCACTTTGAAGATATTTTTCTTAAGTTTCTGAGTGTGATGTTTGCACGGGTGGCAGCGTGCGAGGGCGAGAGGTAGGAAGGTGGCAGGGAGGTGGTTCCCGAGGAATACGCCATGAGTCTCCGAAATAGGGGCTTGGGCAGCTTTTTCATCTCTTTAACTCAAGTGTGAAAACCTTAAGTCTGGTGAATAACTCTGGGAAAGCAATTAATTGGGCAGATCTGAGTATCTTCTTCACAGAGCTACTAATTTATGTCTCCCACTACTTCTTCATATGAAACTTTCTCACTCACCTTTTACCAGTTCTGGGACAGGAGGACCCAGAACGACTGCTAAGTATTGATCCTTAGTAGCACGTGGGGAGGAGGTGGGGTGGGGTGGGGGTGGTAGGGGGGTGGTGGGTGATGACAAAGATGATACCATCAGGCAAGGGAAGGTTTCAGATTACAACTGATTTTTTTTCTAAACCATGCTCACATTTGGGGCACTGTGTCAATCTATTAGATTATGATTATGTTAATGTTGACAGTTAGATAGTATAATAAGAATTTCTATTTTGCTTTTAGTAAATGCCCTCGAATTTTAATTTCTCTGTATTTTTGTCTCTCCTCATCTAGAATTATAACTAGCTAATGTATTTCTCTTGAGAACACCTCAGTTAAAAGTAAGGAGGATAGAAGTTTTACCTCTGTTGTTATTTGCATTTGCTAGTCTGAAATTTGGCCAGTTTTTACAGCTTTGACTTTAGTCGCTCACTACAGCTGGGAAAGGCTGCCAATGAATATGATGCCTGACAAGATTGGGCTTTAATTTCATTTTAATTAACTGACCGGTGAATTCCTTGGAGCCTTGTTATTATTTCAGCACCCTCTAATACCTGGATGGTGGTGCTGGACCCTTTGAAGCCTGGCGGACCTTATGAAGTCCTGGCACAGCAGACTTACGGGAGAAGGAACCTGACTCTTGGCGTCCGTGATGTCTTATTTGGAGACGTCTGGCTTTGCAGTGGGCAGAGTAACATGCAGATGACGGTCTCCCAGGTAATTTGCAGAGTCTCAGTGGTAATAAGAAATGTTGATGTTGAAGAAAAAGGAGGAGGAGGAAGGGGCAAGGGAGAGAAAGCAATAAAAACCTTTTTTGCCATGTGCTTTGCACATTTGATTTAACATCTTTATGAGGTAAGTATTCTCATTTCACAGACTAGGAAACTGGACTACTTAAGTTAAATTGCCTGCCTCCGGTCACAGTTAGTAGGGGAGCCAGGATATGAGGTGGTACTTCGACTCTGGAGCCTGTGTTCTTAGTTAGGGTAAGTGTGCGGTCAGTGGCTAGGCACGCCTTGCCCACTGTCCTGGGCTACAGGCAGAAGCTAGAGTGTATCCGCTAGTAATGGAGATTTCATTAAAAAAAGTAAAGAAGAAGTAACTGACTCTTTTTCTTGACTGGTCTTAGAAGATGATCTTCTGGAGAAAGCCCAGGGAATCAAAACCATTTGATTTTGCTTTAGTGTTGAGCAGCTAATACACTATTATGTCTTTTGTTGTCATGGAGATTGAAAAATTAAGATTGAATGTTGGCTTTGCCATTTTACTAGGGTATGGCTCAGAGAGGAAATCACTTGATACTTTTGGGACTTTGTTTTTAAAACATCCTTTTAAAAATGTGCTTAAATTAATATAACATACTTATCCTTTTACTGGTTAAATGCACAGTTCAGTAGCATTAAATATACAGGGGAGGGCAAAAATAGGTTAACAGTTGTTTGTGTGGAAAATAATACAATAATTCATAAATAATAAGACAAGAATAAACTGTTTTACGTACTCACCTGTAACTCTACTTTTGCCCACCCCCCCATTCACAATGCTTTGTGTACCCATCCCCTGTCTATACTCAAAACTGTTTCATCATCCTCAGCGTAAACTTGGTATCTGTGGAGCAGTATTTCCCCCTTCCTCCTCCTCCAGCCCTGGTAACCTCTGTTTCTGCTTTCTGTCTGTGAATTTGCCGATTTGAGTTCCCCCGTGTCAATGGAATTGTACAATGCTTGACCTTCGGCACCTGGCTTATTAAGCATAATCTTTTCAAGTTCCCCCCATGTTGTAGCATCTATCAAAATATTACTACCCCCTTTCACGGCTGAATGTATTCTGTTGTATATGCCCATTTTGCTTAGCCACTCATCTGTTGATGGACACCTGGGTTGTTTCCACCTCTTGGCTATTGTGAATAATGCTCCTATGAACGTTGGTGTGCAGACACCTGTTCCAGTTCCTGCTTTCCATTGTTTTAGAGACATACCTGTGGATGGACTTGCTGGGTCATCTGTTCCATGTTTAACTTTTGAGAAACCACCGAACCGTTGTTCACAGTGGCTGTGCCATTTTTTATATTTCTACCAGCAGTATGCCGAGGTTCCAGTTTCTCTACATCCTCACTAACGTGTTACTCTCCTTTTTTTTAAATCATAGCCATATTAGTAGATGTGAAGTGGTATTTCATTGAGGTGTTCATTTGCATTTCCCTAATGATTAATGATATCGAGTATTTATTGGCCACTTGTAAAACTTCTTTTTACAATATTTTTGTAAAAAAATATATTCTAGATATTAATCACTTCTTGGGTGTATGAAACTTACTTGAAAATATTTTAACTTATTCTTTAGGTTGTAATTTCACTTTCTTGAGGGTGTCCTTTGATACACAAAAGTTCCTTATTTTGATAAAGTTTAATTTATTTATTTTTAGTTGTTGTCTCTGCTTTTGGTGTCATAGTCGTGAAACTGTTGCCAAATCCCATGTCATGGACATTTTCCACAATGTTCTAAGAGTTTTATAGTTCTAGCTCTTAAGTTTAGGTCTTTGATTCTTTGTGAGTCAGTTTTGGTAGATGGTGTAAGGTGAGGGTCTAACTTCATGCTTTTGTGGGTGAATATCCAGGTCTCCCAGCACCATTTGTTGAAAGGACTATCTTTTCCCCATCGAGTGGTCTCGGCACTCTTGTCAATAATTAACCATACACATGAGAGTTTATTTCTTGGCTTTCTTTTCTATTTCATTGGTCCGTAGATCTCTTCTTGTACAGCACCATACTGTTTTAATTACTGTAGCTTTGTAATAAGTTTCAAAGTTCAGAATTGTGAGCCTTCCAACTTCATTTTTGTTTTTCAGTATTGTTTTTGGCTAGTCAGGGTCTCTTGAAATGCCATATGAACATAAGGATATGCTTTTTCATTTTTTAAAAAATGGCTATTGGAATTTTGATAGGTATTGTGTTTGAATCTGAATTCTTTGGGTAATATTGATATTTTAACTTCTATAGTGAACATGAGTTGTCTTTCCATTAATGTCTTTAGCAGTGTTTCATAGTTTTTGGTTTATTTGCAAGTGTTTAATTTTTTAGATGCTATTATTTCTTAACTTTCTCTTAGGTTGTTCATTGCTGATATATAGAAACAAATAATTTTTGCATATTGACCCTGTACTGTGAAACTTTGCAGAATTCTTTTATTAGCTCTAACAGTTTTCTTGTGGACTGTGGGGTTTTCTCAATATATAGAGAAGCATATCTTGTAGAGACAGAGATAATTTTACCTCTCACTTCTTTTCTTTCCCAATCTTTTTTTTTTTGTCTAAAGCTCTGGCTCACAGTTGCAGTACAATGTAATAGTGGTAAGAGCAGAGATTCTTGTCTGGTCTGGTCTCAGGGGGAAAGCTTTCATTTTTTTTACCACTGAGTGTGATGTTACCAGTAGGCTTTTCATAAATGACTTTTATCACGTAAAGGCATTTTCCCTCTACTCCTACTTGTCTAAGGGGTTTTGTCATGAAAGTATGTTGAATTTTGTTAAATGTCTGGGGCTTCGTTTTTATGATATGGTGATTATATTTGACCTAACTAATTTACAGGGTTCTTAGGGAAGAGTAGATTACATATATTTTTTGTCTCCCAAAGGCCCTTATGAATTGAAAACTGCTGTCTAAATATAAGATGTCATTATTTTTCAACATTTTATTATAAAAATTTCAAACACACACAAAAGCTAAGACACTTACAAAAACCTATATGCCCATTTCCCTGGATGGACAGGTGTTAATATTTTGCCATATTTGGTTTATCTTTCTTTTTATGGTGAGCCACCTCAGGGTAAACTGCAGACGTCTTAGCACTTCAATTAGGTGTCATATATCACATATATATATATTCATATATCAAATTAATTTGTTTATTATATATATTTTTTGTTTTCACAGAAAGAAGAAATAAATAATAGGCCAATGATGACTTTTTTTGCTCAGCATTTTCCTAGCCTATGATCTCTTTTGTTAATGTCAGTTATTTTTCCTGTATTACAATCATTAGCTTTGGAGACGAACTGTCCTTAAATTCTGAGACTAGAACTTTTCCTTCTTTATTAGAAGTGTGTGGAGGCATCCCTGGGCTTTTTGTGCCCGCCAGAGCGTCGGGAGCACGAGCACTGTGTAGGCTCCTAAGGAGGGGGGTTGGCATGTGCGGCACATGCAGGATCCGGTGGACGGGTCGGGAGGATGCTGACTTGCCAGTATGTGGGTCAGTGATGAAATGCATCTCGAAGCGTTCCCATCGCCACTGCTGCTGGAGAATAGGAACCCTCTGATAGACTAGGAGTGAGGTCTTTCAAGTAACGCTGGGTAAAAAGGACATTGAAAAACTTATCAAGGGAAGCAAGACTTGTAATACCTGTATTGGTGTTCTAGCAAGGTGACCGTGGCAGTGCAAAAGCTGTAGTGCTGTAAGTCTTCGGCACTCAGATTTTTGGGGGGGGGGATCAACTCTGTAGTTAAACACAAAAACAGTCTAGAATAGAGAGAGTGGATTTCGGGATAGAGTGTGGTGGGGTTAGTGCTTCAGACCTCCATTGTCCTTGCTTCATTGGTTTGGTGGCAGCTGTCCGATTTCAAAAAAGTAAGGAAGACCGTTGTTTCCTTTAAATTAGGATCAGGGCTGGACAGTGTGAAACCAAGTTCATAGACACATTTAAACTAAATCAGCTTTTAAAATATTTCTGAAAGATTAGTAAATGTATTTTACTCAGAATCGGCCCTCCAGAGGAATTAGCGTGAGTTATTTGGCACATTTGAAATTGGGATTGATTTTTTATCTGTATTTTCTGATTTTTTAAAATATGAGCATGAAATAAATAAGTATAATTTTTTTTAAGTTTAAAAAATAAGTAATTGGTATTGACTTAATCTCTGGACTATCTGTCAAAGGCTCAGTTTACAATAAAAAGTCATGTTACTTAACTAAAAATCTTAGGAATAAATAATTTCGCATTATTGATTGGCATCAATCTGTTCTGTATACTTTTTTTAATAGATTAAGAACCTGAGATTATATTGTCTTCCCTAGCTCTTTCTCTAATACTCAGTTTCTCCTCAAGCTGATTTTTATTTTCCTGCCTTTCTTGTATTATCTGCTTCTCTGTCTTTGAGAAATATTCAAATTTGAGATTTAAAAATCTCTACAACGAGACCATGATCTGTTTCTTTTTTTAAAAAAGTTATAAAATCGAGTCCTTTCACATACTTTCTGATTTCTTATTTTGCCTCTATTGCTTCTACCCCTTATAGTTTCTTATTCTTTCCCCCCCCAACTAATTACTAAATGATGCTACTAAGAAGAGTCTACTCTGGACCTGTCTACTTCATTTCACTATTAGCTTTCTAATTCAAAATCTAAGTTCTTGCATTTGTGTCTTCTTAGCCAGTATTTTATTTCCTCTTGCTTCCTGCCCTACTTAAATATATGGAAACCTTTTGAATATAAATGTTTATTGAAATGAACTGTAACTGGACTCCCTTTTAACATAAGTAAATGGAAGCAAAACGGAAGTTTTAGCTCTTACTAGAAAGCATGGTTTCATCTAGAAGTGCTATTGCTGTTAACCCATTAATGAAGACCTCTCTTTCCTAATACTTTAATTGCAGTTCTCTGTTTGCAAAGAAAGGCACGGACCAGATCTGTTTTGATTTACACAGTCAGGCTCTCAGTAGCAGTCTATGCCAGGGGATCTCATCCCATTTTCTGTTGAGCTAAATCGGCTTTTGATTGTTAAGAGTGAACACATTCTCTCTGCCTAGAATTTACTCTTTAGCATCTTCCATATTAAATGAGGGCTACAAGCTCTCCGATATAGGAAATTGGAAAAAAGATTCTACCTGACACAGCCAAGTGTTAATTTTTTAGTTTTTGGTTTTAAATCATGCACTTAGTTTGTATGACAGCTTTAGGCACTGACAGCACAGTAAGCCAAGTTTTCTAGTCTCTTCACACTCTGTAGAACTTTATTTTTGATCAAAAGGATGTAGTATGTGACTTCTCCATTATTCCTTTTGCTCATTTCCCCCAAACGCCCCCTTCCCACCACACACACAGTGTGTCTGTCTCTTTCCTCCCATCCTCCATGTGACCTTTCTGAGGAGGTAAGATTTCCACTATAACCTACCACTCTTCACATTCAAATGAAGGAAATGGCAGATTGTATGCCCATCTTGTTGTTAGGGTAAAGTGGAATTTTTAAGTTGAGTGTTATTTATAACACTGAGTGAGATGTTTATAAATGGAGAAAAGTCTAAATGTTCATCTGTCGCCTCCTCAGACAGGGTAGGTCTTAAGACTTGGGTATTTCTAGTTGAGCCCAGAAGAAGATGGCCAACAGTAGGCTGCACACCCGCTTTTCAATATCTTGGCAACCCTGACAGTCCCGCTCCACGAGTAGAGAAATTAAAATCCAGCTCCGATAACACATTACAATAAAAGAGACACAGAGGTCATGATGGGTAGCTTATTTACAGTTATTCCCTCAACTTTTAGAACTGCTGTTATACTGTAGTAGAAGGTGAAATACACCATGCACATGTACCCCCATCAGACACACACACGCACACACACAGCCTTGCTCCCTATGCACACCCTGTGCCAAGTGCTAAGATTCTCGGAGGAAACAGATTCTTGATGTTTCTTCATTAATGCAAGAATTCGGTGTAAAGGTCACAAATTGAACCCCCGTGACCAGCTGCTTTGATGGTGATCTGCCCGTCCCCAGAGAGCCCGCGTTGCTCCCTCTCAGCCGCAGCAGCCTTAATGACTTCAGATACCTTGGTGTTCATTTACATCCTCATTAAAATACTTGGTAGAAAAATAATTACACTGAGGTGTTTGATGAGATGAAATTTGATCTCAGCAGATGGAGAAAGGCTTCCCCTTTCATCAGCAGGGAAGCCATGTGTCATTTAAATGAAAATCTTCCTGAAATCTCTTTATTCCTAAATTTGTTGCCAATATCCCTAAGGAAATTGCATCCATCACAAAGGCTTGGTGATATTGGGAGAGGAGACCAATTTCAGAAGTAATTGTCATCAGGGACAGCAAGAATTTTCTCCCACCCCCATTTTTTTCCAGCTCTCTGTGGCTTTCAAGTTTTGACTTGAAATAATACACAAATGTTGAGCTTGAAAATGGAAGCTTTTCAGCCAAATGATTTAGATCCAGTTCTGTGTGCTGGTAACAAGGTGGGAGAGTGCCAGCCATCCCGACTTTGTTGGCCTCGTAGTACTCTAAGTGTTAGCAATGGGTCTGAAAGACGGGGAGCATGTTCACCATGCTGCCTCCCCAAGCTGGCATCTCCGGCAACGAGGCACTTGAGTTCCCAGTCAGTGCGGAAGCTGGCGTGGGTGGAGGGGAGGGAAGCAGTCCCATCCACTGTTTCCATGGGAGCAGCAGCCTCAGCACTTCACAAAGAACTGAATTTCAGGAGAGGTGACTCTTTACAGATACTTGCTGCTGAAAAATAATTCCCCTGCCAGGATATACTGTGAGTGCATTCGCCTGCCCTTAAACTCTTTTACAGTTTTATTTTATAAACTGGCCAGGCAAGATCCTGAACAAACGGACCTGATTTTCCAATGGAATTTTCCCGAGACCATATGTAATCTGTGCCCCGATAGTGGGAAGACCAGTAACCCTGGCAGGCTAGAGCTGCTGCCACCCAGGGAGCATTTCAGGCTGTGCTTCCATGGTGACGGAAAGAGCCATTTGCGCCTGGCCATCTTACTGACCACAGCAGGTGCAGTGGCAAGTCACGAGGCGATTCAGGGGGCAGCACATTTCAGCGAACTGGCCTGTGGGGGCAGTCTGGCAGCTCCCTCTTTCTCTTACAGCGTGGGCTGGAGGGCCAGCTGTATTCTCCATGGTGGGCGGGAGGGAAGGCGAGCCAGCTGCGCACTCTGCGGCTCGCGGCCAATGGCAGGTATCCAGCCTCCTGGGCTCCTCGCTGGGCAGTCCTGCCTCAGCTGGGGCGCCTGTTCCCTGAGGCCAGCGCTAGCCGGGGCTTCCTGACACTCCTGTTTGCCTTTGTTTTGGGAAAACCAGACTAGTCCAGGGGCATAGAGACAGGACAAGAAAGAGCAAACACACAAATAAAGCAAAAAATGTATTTACGTTACATCCCTCTTAAAATAAGAAAAATAACCAAAAAATCAGGATTAAAGGAAATAGCACTTATGCGTAAACTCAGAGAGGGCTGTTGCCCAACGTGAAGCAGTGCAGACCCCACACATTCTTGTCCTGAAAATCTCCAGTCCTTCCCACTCTCCGGGCAGTGGGTGAGGGGTCACACAGTGGTTTGGGGGAAAGGGATGGGTCTTTGGATGGACCCTTTTCTTGTTTAGTTTCTTGGAACTCTCCTTAGCGGTCACCCCAAACCCTGCTTTTGAAATTGCCATGTCTCCCTCGCTTTTCTTTGGTGGTTGGCTAAGAGCCAGATGAGGACATAAGCGTGTTGAGGCTGATTTCAGTGTGCTGCAGCAGTTCGGCAGTCATTTCTCAGATGTTTCTTTCAAATACACTTCTCTTAGGTGGTATGGATTACACAAATCCACCTCCCCCCGGCCTTTTTGGCTCCATTAAAAAAAATTGAATACCATGGCTTCATGTTATCAGGTACTTTTCCTGAATAGAAGTATGTTTGCGTCTCAGCATGTCACAGTGGTTTCATTGACGGTTTGCTCGTCTTCAACCTAAATCGCTCCATTGCTCTTCTCACCTAATACAGACTCACTCCTCGAGACCTCAGGTTTTACTGCAGTTCTGCCTTCTTTGGAGACATTACTCTTCATGATCTCTTTTGGGCAAGGCGGGTCAAGGTGACTCCCACCAGCCCCTTACTGGTTTTGGTTATTGGTTTGATCTCGGTATGCTGAAGGCTCAGAAAGAGCGCAGAGGGCGGTGTTGACATAACAAACATCCAAACCTGTAGAGAATTTTAATGAGTTTATCTGAGCCAAACTCACAACAATTGCCAGGAAGCGAAGTCCCAATGGATTGAGAAAATGCTCCGGAGGATGGCAGTTTTGCAGCTTGTTTCATACATTGGAATTGAAGGAGGAGATGTCAGGAGGGTTACATGAAATCCTCCGTTGGTGGTAGATTGAAGGCAAAGCTAGGGAGAACCTGGAATTGGATTAAAAGTACAATGAAGAGACACATACTTCTTTTACATTGGTGGGTCCGTGATAGTTGATTGACGTTTACTGAGATTGTACACAGATGACAAGATAAGGCTTCTGTGGCCTCTCTCCTGCTTTGGCATGATGGGTGTACCGTGAGAGGTCTAGAGAAGATTAGTCTGACTTTTCAAAGGTCCGTTATCTTCGATGCAAAAAGACAACAGACAGGCTCAGTTAAGGTCAGGATTGACCTTTGTCAAGAAAGTTACAGGCCTGGGACTGGACTACCCGTCCCGACCTGCTTTTAGTTAGGAATTTCTATGTTCAGATCATCCTTTGTGGTTACTTTCTGCCTCTCGAGTTTGTAGGCCCTGCCATGGGGGCCTCCCCTGAGCTTTTGAGGCTTAGCTGTGGCCCCTTTTCTGTCCACAATTGGTAGTGTTTAAGAGGCAGTCAGACAGCTGAACCCCTGCTGAGTAGATTGGCGTAAGAAATGACAGCCCTCTTCCTGTTGTAGATATTTAACGCTACGAGAGAGCTGTCCAACACCGCTGCCTACCAGTCAGTCCGCATCCTCTCTGTGTCCCGGGCTCAGGCGGAGCAGGAGCTGGAGGATCTTGCTGCGGTTGATCTGGAATGGTCAAAGCCCACCGCGGGTGAGTTGGGTGCTGGAGCACGTGCCATCTCTTCTAGAAAGGGTCAGTGACCCAGGTGGGATCTGTAATCCTGAATTTTCTTACCTATTTATTATGATTCAACCATCCCTTTTTTCATTTCTGACTCTCCACCCCATTCCTGAAGGTAGCCACTCCCTAAGTTTATTCCTAAGACCCCACTGGTGAGTCTGCTTCCTTGCCCCGCGCAGATGCCCTGCCTTCAGCTTCCCAGATACACGGAGGCCATCGGCATGACCTCGGCCAGCGTCTCTCATCAGCGCTTCAAGGCTCTCCTCGTCTCTCTCCTCCTGTGTTTCCGGGTCTGAACACCCTGGCTGGTGCCCTCTCACGGCTACCTCTGACGCAGGCTCTTACTTCCTCCAGGTTCTTCTTACCCCCATAGCTCCGTGTTTCCATTCCACTGCCCGTTCAGCAGGAAATCTTCATTTCCCGCCTGCTCTGCGTGGCTCTGTGCTAGGCACCAAGGGGACAGCCGTGAGCAAGACAGACGCAGTTCCTATTCTCAAACCTTAGCTTTTCTTTTATTATAACAAATAAAGCAAAATCGAACATAACAAACATCCTTCACACACTCCTGAATTCTCCCCTCTGCTTTGTTAAACCTTCCTAGAACATCTTCTTTTTCATTCTTTTCGCTGCCTTTCCATGTGTTCATGCTTTAACCCTTCATAATGTGTCTTCTGCTCCCATCTCAACAACTTCTTTGCCTTGACTTGACTACTGTGTTTCTAATTGTACATTCTGGATACCTCGACAGCCTTCAACACTGCCGACCACCCCGCTTATGAACCACGTGTTTCTGTCGGCTTGCGTGGCCCTTCCCTTCTCTGCTCTTCTCCTCTGTCTTCTCCCTGCCTGTGTCTTGGCCTTCTTTGCCTCCTTCCTCCCGCTGTGGTGTGCTCTTAGTCCCATTCCTATTTTGTCCGTCTGTTCTTTGCTTTGGTAACCTCGATTGCTCCTACATTTTCAAGTATTAATAAATTCAGCAAATACTTGAGTGCCCACTGTGTGCTAGCACTGGTCTTGGTTCTGGGGGTACAGCAGTGAATAAAACAGTCAAGGACATCTGTTCTCATGGAGCTTGCCTTCCGGAGCAGCGGAAGGAAACGTACTCATTAAATTAGTAAGTTTTGTAGGGAGTGTCTGATATTGTTCAATATCACACTGTCTGAACTCTCCCTTTAAGAAGTTAGGAACTGCCCTGGCTGGTGTTGCTCAGTGGATTGAGTGCTGGCCTGTGAACCAGGCGGTCGCTGGTTTGATTCCCAGCCAGGGCACATGCCTGGGTTGCAGGCCAGGTCCCCAGTAGGGGGCGTGTGAGACGCAACCACCCATTGATGCGTCTCTCCCTCTCTTTCTCCCTTCCTTCCCATCTTTCTAAAAATAAACAAATAAATCTTTAAAAAAAGAACTTAGGAACTAAATTTAGTTTGGTAACTTCTTGGATGAATCTTTTGCTTTATGAATGTTCACCACATGCTATCCCAAACCTCAGGAATCACTCGGGCTTGATTGGTGTGTTTATATTTTGCTTTCACCTCCCTTTCATTCTCTGAGCTCAGAAACCAAATAAATCTGGGGGCATCAAGGGAGAGATTTGATGGTGATGCGTGCCAATGAAACAAAGTAAGTAAAATTTATCAGGGAAGGGGAGCAGTAGGGACTCTTGGGGTGAGGGTGGGTAGTGGTTCCCAGTTTGAATGGCCAGGGGAGAAAGGTGATGCTTCAGTAATAACCTGAAAGAGGTGAAACAGTGCGGATGTCTGAGGAAGAGCGCAGTGGGCCGGTCCGTCTCACCTTTCCATTCGGTCCTGCTTCCCTCCTTGTCACCCCTCTGCCTGCAACTGGGAGGGTTTCGTGATTTTAAGGACTCTGTGATTAGATTGGGCCCCCCTGGATAATTTAGGATTATCTCCCTTCTCAGGTTAAAGGCATTCGGTGTGGGCATCTGCAGGGACTCTTCTGCCTACACACAATCGCATTCTTACGCATTTCCAAGTGGCTTTCCCTCTTCCAAACCCCAGGGTGCGACTTCAGCCTCCCCTCCAGTCTTCTCTTCCTTTTGTAACCTATGCTCCAGTCAAGCACTTTGAAATTTTTTCCCTATTTTATGTGCCTTTTTATGGATTGCTTTTTTGCGCCTTGAATGCCAGCTCTGCTTATTAAACTTCCATCTGTCCTCCAAGGCTCCCCCACCTCTCTCCCTGTCCCTCTTGGTTGCCTTTTCTCTCTACCTGCGCATCAATGAGTCCAGCTTCACACCAGCCACCCGCAGCCACCCAGCACCAGCCGACAAACATCTACCAACTCTCTGTCCCGTGTCTGGGGTCCAGACACTGAGTGGGGGAAGGGAAACACTGTGCAGTGGATATGATGGAGGCAGCGGGAGGAAGTCAGTCTTTATTAGGCTTTTTATGATCTGTCTTTCATTTTATATTCATTCTTTTGCTGTTAAAACCCCTTAATACGCGTTAGTGCCTCTTGAGGCACTTAACCATATTTTGCCACATGTTTTATTCAGCTGAATAGATGCCTTATTTTGTAGAATATAAGACCTGTGAGGAGAGGTTGCATGCTTCTCCTTTTTATTTACTGTCCTACCGCCACCTAGAAGTGCCTGGCACCTACTAGGTGCTCCACCAATTTTAATTGATTTCAAATTGATTTGAATTCCCTCTATGACACCATCAACTTTTTGAGGGCCAGAACTACCGGTACATTGAATTTGCATCTTTGATAGCGCCAAGCCAGCGATTTACACAGAGTAGTTCTTTAATAAGCATTAGGTTGAATGTTCCTGTCCATTGGGTGTGTGTGCACGTGTTCCCCTCTTCTTCCTCTTTCTTCTGACGTGGAAGTGGCCCACTCCAGTGCGTGTGGCAACTGGGCCGTGTGGACAGATGGCTCTTGTTGCCCTTCCCTTTCATCCCAACCTCCCATTACTAATTCGTCCATGATTTCATCACTACAGCTGTAAATCTGGGTATAATACACATTTTTTCTCGACATGCTCCCTGCACGCTCATTCCCTTCCACAGAGCCACCTGGGAACGAATGCAGAGGTGCGGTGAGGGTAGTCTAGGGGCCCAGTGGCCTTTCTGCCCCTCACCTGCTGAGTAGGACTGTTCGTATTCCTGGGTTCTCAGGAGCCTGGAAGTGTTACAGGAACAGGGGGTCTGCTCGTCTGGCTTGGGAGCTTCACTCTCTGCTCATGAGACGGTCGCCTTTTAGTCTTACTCTCCTTTTGGAAATTCTTAGCAAGGAACACAAAGGGTGACCCGCACCTGCTCCTGTCACTCGGCCCTTCTGCACCTGCAGTTTGCAGCTGTCTACTCTTCCCTAACTCTTTAACCATTTCTCCAAACAGACAACTTAGGCCACGGAAGTTTTGAGTACATGTCAGCCGTGTGCTGGCTCTTTGGGCGTTACCTGTATGACACGCTGCAGCATCCCGTTGGGCTGATCTCCGCCTCGTGGGGTGGGACCCCCATCGAAGCCTGGTCACCTGGAAGGTCCCTGAAAGCCTGTGGGGTCCCTAAGCAAGGGTAAGAAAGCACCCTCTTGTCCAGGAGCAAGCTTGCCAGGAGGTTATCCAAGAGAGAAGGCCCATCCAAGGGCTCCGCTGGGGAGTCAAGCATGTGTTGAATGTCCAAATATGTATCTACTTACTCCGTGCTAGGTGAGCTGTTATTTCACTGTCGTCACCACCACAGGCACCAGAGAATGTGACAAGCAATTGTGATTCTTTTTCTTAATAATGCTTATAGCTAATGCTTGCCAAAAGCTTTATGCTGGAAGATGTTATAAGCAGTTTATATATAGCAACTCACTTAATACTCACAGCCACCTCTTGAAATGTGGACACTATTAACTTACTGTAGGTAAAGATACTGAGTCCCATAGCACTTTGGTGACTTGCTCACGGATGCTGAGTCGGTGGTGCAGTGTGGCTTCGGTGTCTGTGCTCTGAAGCACCGTGCCGTATTACCGGTAAGAACGTGCGGAGTGACTGGGAGAATGTGTGTAGCACACTGGTTGTGAAAGCACACTCAGGAAGAGATGGACCGGGAAGGATGCTTGGTGGCGGGGTGGGGGTTGGAGTCAGGCTCATGGAGGAAGCCTGGACACTCCCTCGAAGCTGGAGATGAGCAACATGTGAACTGCTTTCGCAGACATTGTCCCATCAGTTCTGGGAGGGCCTCTGGCAGAGGGTGGACTTGCGTGCTTGGGCAAAGGTGTGCCTGTGTGAACGTGTTTGGTTTTGGGGCAGAAAGAGTCACCTGTGGGAAAGTAGGAGGAATCTGAAGCCAGGCCTCCAGCTCGCCTGGAAGGGACAAGTCCAAGGGTGTAGGGAAGTGTGCATTCTCACATACAGCGGCTGCAAGTGTGAGTTCACACAAGTATTCTACAGAAAGATTTAGGAGCATGTTGAAAACCTGAAAAATGTGCCTTTTGACCCAGTAATTTCATTTCTGGGAATTTAAGAAAATACTTAAATCTGTATGTAATAATTAAGCTATAAGAAAGACAGTCATGGCATTGCTTATAAAAGCCAACAGCTTAAAATAATCTAAGCATCCATCGAGTGTGAGTTAAATAAATGTATTGTCCACATGAGAGACTCATAATAAAACACTTCTCTCTGTGGTTTTAATGACCTCAGCTGGAAGCTGGGGTGGCCCTCTCTGAACCCACAGCAAACCGGCTGATACACTTATCCTGGGAAGAACCTGGGGGTGAAATTCAGAGACTGTTTGCATGTTCACCTGTGAAACAAATTGGTTCAAGTTAATTCTGTGTTGCTTTCATCGGAAGTTAGCCCCAAGGGAAAGCCGAATGGATGCCCAGCTTTGGGATCTGATGCGACCAATCACTAGCTCTCTCGTGACACTCGTGCATCTTACTGATTTCAGGTTCGTCCCACCCGACTCTGTGACTGGCCCCAGTAAGCCCTCGGTTCTCTGGAACGCCATGATCCATCCCCTGTGCAGTGTGACTCTGAAAGGCGTAATATGGTACCAGGGTGAGTGTTTGATGTGCTTTTTGCTCACTGAGTCAGTTCGCTGTGCTGCATACCACACCACTCTAGAATTTAGTGCCTTAAAATAAAAATAATTTTGTTTTAAGCCCACTATTCCGTGGGCTAGCAGGGTAGTTTTTGTGTCTGAGTTGCTGCAGCCGATTTGTGCTAAAATATGTTACGTGTTTCTGGCCACCTTGGCAGGTTGTCTGATGTCTGGGAGACTTAGAACGGCCTCTCCCTTGTGGGTGAGGACTAGGAGCTCTGTCCGCTGGGCCCGTGGTTCTCCTGTGGCCCCAGCCTGCAGCAGGCTGGCTCAGACTTCTTTCTTGTTTACACAGCAGTCTCAGGGTTCCAGGTGTATCCGGAGAGAGCAAACCCCTAAGCTGAAGCACTTTGCAAGTCTCCACTTGCATCATGTTTGCTTCTGCCATATGGGCCCGAGCAAGTCACAGGCCAGGCCAGAGGGCCTGCAGGAAGGCCCCCTTCCTAAGGACATGGGTGGAAGTTAGGGGGGAATGTGCGGCCATTTTTGCATCCACCCCCAACTCCTCTGACAACTCGGTCTGTTTTCAGGGGAGGCCAACGTAAATTTTAACAGAGACCTGTACAACTGCACGTTCCCCGCACTCATTGCCGACTGGCGCCAAACCTTCCACCTCGGCTCTCAGGGGCAGACAGAGCGTCTCTTCCCGTTCGGTTTTGTTCAGGTTCGTGTTAAGGGGACAGGCGTGGGCCTCGCTGTGCAGACGTGCTGTTGAGATCTCTTTCCTGGACCCCTTGTTTCTTCCTCTTTCACCCTCACAGCCACCGGTCAGGAACTGAATATAAGACTTAATTCATCACCGTTCACTGATGGGACAATTAAATCTTTTGAAAAAGTTAGTAACTAGTGTTTGTTCCTATTAAAAAAGCATTACAGAGAAGGTGGAGGGATTGGCTAAAGAACACACATGTGTAACCCAGAGACTCAGACGGCAGAGTGGCGATGGCCGGAGGGAGAATGGGGACATCTGGAATAGTGTCAACAATTAAAAAGGAAAAAAAGTGTTACGTGTTCATTAAAGAAATATTAAAAAGATAAGCGAAAAACATTCATAATTCCACAATCCGTGAATAAGCAGACTTTGCTGCTCATTTTTGAAGTAGGATCCTCACCATAATGCTGTACCATGTCTCTCTTTCCTTTCTCACAGTGTCATATTGTGAATATTTTTCACACCAATAAATATTAACCTCAGGCATAATTGATAATGATTACAGAGTATTCTAAAATAGGGTTATATTATAATTTATTTAACTAGTCCTCAGTAGATTGGCACTGAGGTCGTTGCTTTAAACATTTTGCTTTTGTAAGTAGTGGCATATTTATATTCTTTGTAGCTAACTCATTGCATACATGCTTCATTATTTCCATAAGAGAAATTCCCAGAAATTAAATTGGTGGGTTAAATGAAATACTTTAAGGCTTTAAACATGTTCCCACATTTCTCTGTCAAAGTCTATGAATTTGTATAAATTCATACCCTTAGCAACAGCGTGTGAGGACGCGCACCTCCACACACCCTCCCCAGCCTGGTGTCACCCTGCCACTCCTCAGAATGAGCCTCGTTTCCTCGCTCCCAGCCCATTGCGCATACCCTGCGCCTGAAATAATCTCTCTCTCCCATACTTTCCTAGCTCACTTTTAATGATCCTATAGGTCGCAGCCTGGGTATAAGTTAGGAAGCCTTCTGGGCCTATTCAAAATCTGGGTTAGGGACCCCCTTTCCCCAGATGGGTGACTCTGTAGCACCTTCTGCTTCCCTGTCTCCTTGCATGTAGATTGCTCGCATGACCATATTTTCCCGGGTCACTTGTATGTCCCCACTACCTAATTAGTTGACACTTGTATGTGACCTAACACATGAATAAAATACGCCTCGAGAAAATGTGCTTTTACTTCGTGATAATTAGTCAAAAAGATTCTGCTCCCAGCCTTGTCTGAAAGGAATCGCATGTTTAGCAAAATTCATAGTTGCCTTGTCTCACCGGTTTCTAAGACCTGGACCTTTTAGTAGGGTGGGAGTTCTGCCTTTGCTGGAACTCAGGAAATGAAACAGGTGAGGTGTTTTGAAAACAAAGCCGGACTCGCAGCACGTGATGGAATGGGCTCTAGTGTTTGAACTGGACACAGTGCCTGCAGGCAGCTGCCTCCAAAGGCCCGCGAGTCCCTCCTTCCTGCCCTGCGCCATCTCTTCTACCTTGTCCTACTTCACCACACTTTTTTTGGATGAAGATTTTTATAGATACTCCTCGCACTTATAATTACTTTAAAATCATTTTTCTTACATTTATTTTGACTTTGAAACAAGATTATTCTGCTCATTATTATCAAAATAGCAACTCCTGTCACCAGCTCTGTGTTACTGTTGGTGGAAACTACATTTAGATTAGAGGGACTTTTTTTTTGGCTCTTAGCCTGTGTACGTGGTGATTTAAATATGACTTCAGCCACTTCAAACCAGAAGTTTGTATTGAATGCTACTGATGTGCTAGGAACTGAGTGAGGGCTAGAAACACCATGTAGCCCAGAGACCTTGGCCTTGCACTTAGGCCTGACGGTTTAGCAGAAGCCCCTTAGCCTCTGAGCTTTCACTTTGCATCATCAACAAAAATATGTAGCTTGCCTGTGGAAGACCGAGACTGCGAACATCTGCCTCCAAAGGGAAATGTCAGACTTGATGATGCAGCCGTCCTGAGCATGGGTCTGAAGCCGGGCTGCCTGATTCAAGTCCCAGCTCTGACACTTCTTCAGCTGTGTGATTTCAAACAAGACCTCAAACTTCTTTGTTATTAAGTGTCAAGTGAGTCAATTCATGGGAAGCCTGGCACATGACAGACAGTGTTAGTGTTTGTTTTTAATCAATGAGAGAAGGCAGAACTTCTGGAGGACAGTTGGTCTACAGGGAAGCATGAGGTTATGGGTTTGACCTGGTGGTTGCAGCAGCTGGAACGATGGGAGATGAAGGATCAAGCTCAGCGGGTAGACCAGGCCCAGACACACGTGTCAGAGAGTCATTCGTAGAGAAATGACCTGAAGCAGGGAGGGGACAGGAGCAGGAGGCTAGGGACTGGAGTCCTTGGGACTATACTTTCTTAAAAGGGGTTTGGAGGACCAGTGGAAGAGACTGTGGACTTTAGCATATTATTCGTAAAGTTCTCTGAATGTGCCACCTTTATATTCTTGGCTATTGTTTGCCTTCATAAGCAGCAGTATTTCTACTAATCACCATGGGAGATTGAACTGTATCTCCCACTAGGAAAAACCGTGTAGTTGCAGAGTTTAGTTTGCTGGTGCCCCCATGTGGCCAGTGTGCACTAGTGCAGTCACCAAAATGGAGTGGAGAACGGGGCAGGACTTCTCAGCAAGACTGCCATTTTGAGAAAACTTCCTTGGTGTGAGTGACTGTTGTTAGCATTTCTCCCTGTTGTGTTTCAGGCTGGTACTTATTCTAGATCTTTCTGGTAGCTTGTTGCTATGCTCCCCATCATGGCGTTGACTGGGTGACCATGGTTCCACTTTCAGTCTTCTGGGAGTCGTTTGGGAAGAAATGGGTTAACTCGCCAATCTTTCTATTTCATCTTCTAGTTTTCATGAGATTCCATTGTGAAATGTCAGCATCTCTTACTGTACAGATTAAAGCCAGTTTGCATAAGAGCTTTTATTAAGAGAATTGAAATATCCTCTACATTCCCTAGCATACCTGTCAACGTAAGAAACATCCAAACCTGTAGCCCAACTGAAGACAGTTGCTGGGAAGCAGAATCTCAACAGATTGAGATCTGCTGCGGAGAATGTCGGTTTTGCAGGTTATGTTTACACTAGACTCAAAGCAGGAGATGTGAGGGGGTTACATGGGATCCCCTGGTGGTAGATTAAAGAGGTGGGAGACAGCAAAGCAGGGAAACCTCTAAGAATGCATAAAAAGTAAAATGGAAAGACACGTACTTCTTACATCGGTGGGCACAGGATAGTTAATAACTAACATTTACAGCGCACAGAGATGGCATGGGGGGAACCAGGTAGCAGTGAGGGTCTCTGCTATCTTCTGTGGTCTCGTGCTCTGGTGCAGAGGTTGTGCCCTCAGGGGTCTGGAAAAGGGGGTTACTCTGACCTTCCAGAGGTCTGTTATCTTCGATGCAGGAGGGCAGTGGACAGGCTCATTCAGGTAAAGACTGACCTTTGTCAAGCAATCTACAGGCCTTGGACGTCACTACCCGCTGTGACTCGCTTTCAGTTCGGGTTTGATGTTCAGACCCTCCTGTGTGTTCACCTTCTGTGTCTGAGTTGGTATGGCCCTCCACGCGGGCCTCTCCTGAGCTTGTCAGGGTTAGATACTTTTCATACCATATCCCTTCTGCTACTGCTGCTTCCTTTTCTCCCCCTTTAGGATATTCTCAGTATGTCAGTTAAAGCGGTCCTTTGGGATGTACGTCACATGAGAAGGCTCCATTGGTCCCTCCGCACCAGCCATACATGGTCTGCCCCTGCGTCCGTGACCCTCTGACCTCATCTCCTGATTTTCCTTGCCTCGCTTACGCCACTAGTCACAATGGCTGTCATACCTTTTTCAGTCATACTAAGTGTACTTCCACCTCAGGGCCCACCATACTTTTTCCCTTCTGTATGGAAAGTAATTTCCCCGTATATTAGTTTTCTATCACTACACAACAAATTACTGCATGTTTAGCAGCTTAAAGCAAGGCCATGCTGTGACCCATCACAGTTTACATGGGTGAGGAGTCTGGGTAGGCGTACCTTAGGTGAGTCCTCTGCTCAGGGCTGCAGTGAAGGTGTTGGATGGAGCTGGGGTCGCATCTGAAGCCTAGGGTTTTCTTCCAGGCTCATGAGGCTGCTGGCAGAATTCATTTCCTTGAAGCCGTAGAGGTCGTGGCAGCTTACTTCTTGAAGGCCAGCAGGAGAGCATCTCTGACCCCTGGGTTAGCTTCACCACGGTACTCTAGCTTTTGATTATTTTGAAGTCAGCTGTGATAAGGGACCTTACTTACATCTACAGAATCCTAAGCAGACAATTCAGATGTTATAGATTCTGCATGTTGGGTATTATCCTTTCTCTTATGCCCCCGCATTCAATTGGATGCCTGGTTCTGTCAGTTTGTCTTGTAGGTTGCCTTATTTCTAACCATCCTCTTCCCACTATTGTTTTAGATTAGCCCCTTCTCTTCTGCGTCGAGAATATTATAGTACCTTCTGAACTAACAGGTCTCTTTTTTTTCTTCACAGATCATTTGTATGACCACTATATGAATCTTTTGAAGTATCTACTTATCGTGTTAATAATTTCAGTGTCTCTTATTTTTAAGGTGAGGTGAATTTCTCACCTAAGCATTTTAAAGTGTTCAGCTCCGTCTCATTTAGTACATTCACAGTGTTTTGTGACCGTCTCTCCAGGTGGTTTCTTGTTGCTTATAAAGTGTAAGCTCTGTCCAAACACTTGCCTGACTGTCTTTCCAGCCTTGTCTTTCCCACGTAAATTCTCTACTCCAACTGGATTGCTCTCTCTCTCTTTCAAAACCACCTTTATCTTTTACCTTTGCATTTCATAGGGTTCTTTTTTTTATTAAAGTTTTTTTATTGATTATGTCATTACAGTTTTTCCATTCCCCCCTTCATTCCCCTCCACCCTACCTCCCGTCCCCACCATTA